TAAGTTCCAAATCCCATCCTGTTTGGTTGAAAACCAAGGGAGTTATAGCTATTTAAAGTTTAAGCCAATCAGATTGCAGAGCACGTGCATGCACGTGTTTTCATGATAAGTGCTATATGTCATGCTGTAGGATATCCTTTTGTATGACTATGTTCAAAATTTCAAAGGATTTCGTCAGAAAACAAGAAAGATATTGAGACTTTAGTTTCAGCCAATCAGAGCGAAGCGCACGTGTATGCGCGTGAGATCTTGCTATTTTGACCATGTCATATTGTCTATGCTACTAATATATCCTTATGTTATAAGTTTCAAAAAATTTCATCAAAAAATAGAAAAGATTCGGCTATATTCATTATATTGGTCATTTCACGTGTTGCACGTGCACGCTCTTGCAAGCACGTGCGCGCAAAATGACCTTCGTTCCGCAAATCTACATAACATGCCTACTGACCCTAAAAAGGTTTCACCTAAGTCGGATGTGTAGTTTACAAGATCATTCGCGGAAAAGATTTTCCCAGGAAGAAGAAAAATAATAATAATAATAATAATAATAAGAAACAGAGTAAAAACAATATGTTCCCCAACTTCGTTTGGGGAACATAACAAGTGGGTAACTAAACTTATTTCAATTATTTTTGTTTTTATGTTTTTTTTAGGATTTATTACGAACAAATTTTGTAGTTTTGATAAAATTTTTATGTTATATCATTCTTTATTCTGGAATGGAAATAAAACAACAATCATTCAATCAATCTACATCAGGGAATTTACTTTAATCATTGCTTTCTAAGAAGGACCTCTTATTGTTTCAAGGCATCTGTTTTGTAAAATGAGTTACGATTGGCTAATGCATTGATGCTGGACACTTGCTGTAGGAATCTTTTAAATTATGAATATGTATCACTAATCATTTAACTCTTTTACACTTGTTTTCTCTTCATCTTTCAAGGGTCCGTTTATCAAACCTATTTCTCCAATTCTAACCGGAATTGGTCATCCATATCCGGTTCCTTATCATAGAAAAATACAAGCAGTTCCGTATCCTGTACGCCATCCTATCTACCCGATCCGACATACTGTCTACCCTGTAAGCCATGGACATCTGCCTGTTTTACGACCATCACGTGTGGTGGTACCATATCATGGCATTCGATTTTTTGGAGGCGGGAGCGGATCATTTAAAAAATACAGAAAGAGATTGTTAAAGAAAGGCGCTTATGTGCCACTTCTTCACATCAGGAAGAAGAGAAGCTTTTGGGGCGGATCTAGTAGCGGCAGTGGAAGTCATTCATAAAGAGGCTGATAATGTTGATTGTAACAATTTACAATTGAAATAAAACATTTGTTATACATAATCAATTATTTCTATTTCTTTATTGGTAAGATGAACTATGTTTTTTGTTTAAAACCAAAAAAAGAATGCCCTGGTTATTGATTGCATGAATTTTTTTAATGTTAGTGTTGTGCAAAAAAAACTACAAAATGAAATCTGTTCACGTTTGCTCTCAGGTATCAGTAAATCTTAACAAAAGGTGTGTAAAACGAAATATATCGAAACGTCTTACCTGGGAAAGACCCTCTGATGGTTGTTTTTTCATTTAAGGTATTTTCCTCAATACAAGCAACAGAGTTAAAAAAAAACGCCAAGATTTGTTCTTTGTGTAATCATCCGTAATAATTAACTTCAAAATTAATATAGAAATTTGGTAATTGCTTGTATCTGAATCGGATGGAGAATTTTTTCAACTCGTTTAAAAAAATTTTATAGTGTATAAAATCAGTATGGCACCTTACAAATTAATGTATGGGGTCATGGCCCAACCTGTCGTAGCGGGAATGCTACCAGTACTCTTTCACTAGATCATATTTTGGTATTTTTGGTTTTTCGTGCTTTATGCTGTTTTTTGGGTGTGTATTGTAAAATCAATCACAGTACCTATACAAAATAGATAAACCATTTTCACTAAAGAAAAATCAAAATTTTTAAAGTTTAACATAGATTAATCAGAACATAGGAATTTGCGTACCTATTAATTTCACCGAAATTTTCAGTAAATTGAAAAAAAAAAACCTAATACCTTTAATATAAAATGCACTCCTTGTGTTATTTATATAGGTATTACGAATTTTTAAAATTACTGAAAATGAAATGTTATTATTATAGGTATTACGTGTTTTTTTTTATTTACTGCAATTTTCGGTGAAACTGAAAGGTACGCGAACTCCTGTGATCAGAACATCATTCGTTTTACTATTTGATGTATATCAAAGAATAATAATAATAATAAATACTTTATTTAAAGAAGGTAACCTGGTAAGTGCGTAGACTATTCTTCCCCATGGCCTTCTATATATATCAAATACAAAAAATGTACAGGATACTATGCATCATATATAATAGTAATAGGTTTAAGGAATTATTATTATTATTATTATTATTATTATAAAATTTGTATAGCGCTAAATATAATTAAAATTACTCTAAAGCGCTTAAACATTAAAAATAAAGATAAAAATTTACAATAATTAGAACATGATTAAGAATCTAACAATAGACGTATAGTTATAAAAGTAATGAAAACAATTATAAAAATTATTTAAAAATTAACCCCTAAAATTACAATCACAAGATTATGAATATAGTGTCCATGTACAGATAATTAACAATCATAATACAATATACAATATCGAAATCGTATTGTGCTCAAATAATTGTGCGACAGCTGATGATGTAATTTTCTATATTACGCTTAAATGTTTGTAGAGATTGAGAGAGTTTAATGTGTTGGGGAAGTTTATTCCATTGATGTACACCTGAATACTGAAAAGAGGTCTTGATTAAGTTTGTACGAAATTTCGGCAATCTTAGATCATAATTACTTTCAGATCGAAGGTTATAAGACGTTGAAGAATGAAATTCAAATAAATTACAAAGAAATTGGGAAGTCGTTCCACTGAAAATTTTGTATAATAATATGTATTTGGCCATTTGTATAGATCAACTAGCTAATAAATAAACTGTTAACCATCCAAGTTTCTCAAACAGTGGTTTAGAACAAAAATCGGGACTTGCGTCAAGAATAATCCTTGCTGCCCTTTTCTGTAATTTAAATAGTCTGTCCATGTCCTGCTTGGGGGCATTACCCCAGATAGTCAAATAATAGTTAATAGATGGTAAAATATAAGCATTGTAATATAGTTTTCTGGTATGTAGAGGGAGAAATTTCTTAATCCTTCGAAGAGTAAATAACTTATAATTTACCGTTTTACAAACCGAATCAATATGATTTGCATACTGTAACTTATCATCAATATGTACACCAAGAATTTTTTCTGTTTAACCTATTTCAATTGTTTTGTCTGAGGCATAAAGTTGTAAATTTGGATTATCTAATTTTGATTTTCTTTGCTGTGTTCCCATTAACATACATTTTGTTTTATCTACATTTAAAACCATTTGATTTTGAGCACACCATTTCTCAATCTCACAAAGGTCTGAATTTAGTGTATTTTCCAAACATCTTGCATTATTATTATTAGAATACAGCGTAACATCATCAGCACACATATCAATATTTGAATTGTTTACATGTAATGGAAGGTCATTTATGTACAATAAAAATAAAAGTGGGCCCAGAATTGACCCTTGTGGCACACCTGCTGTGACGGGTAGAATATTGGAGACACATGATCCAAATTTAACACACTGGGTCCTATCGTAAAGAAATGATTTAAACCAATTTATAGCTGTTTGGTGAAATTTGTAATGGGTTAATTTCTCTAGAAGAATATCATGATTCACCAAATCAAATGCTTTACTAAAATCTATAAATGTAATACCGATTTGTTCACCACGATCCATTGCATTAAGCAAACTTTCTGTCAGTTTTGTAAGTGAAGTTTGACAAGAATGGAGTTCCCTAAACCCTGACTGGGATTGTGTTAGTACATCAAATTCATTGGTGAAATTTAGTATTTGCTTAGCTACATGTTTTTCTATCAATTTAGATATAGTTGGTAGAATGGAAATAGGACGATAATTATTCGGGTCAGCTTTGTCACCTTTTTTAAAAATAGGTGTTACTTTGGCTTGTTTTAAATTTGTCGGGAAAATACCATTTAGTATGCTAGCGTTAATAAGATGAGTTAAAGGTTTACATATATATTTAGATGTGACTTTCAGAAGACGCGGTCCAATAAAGTCAATGTCAGTTGATTTATTGATATTTATAGAATTTAGATCTAACAAAACTATATAATATATTAGGATCATAATCATGTTTTGGCATTTCCAAAAGAAGCTTGTTAGAGACATCCGTAAAGTGGTTATTAAAATTATTTGCAATATCCTGTAAATTATCAACAATTTTCCCATTAGAAAACACATGAGATGGAGTTGTGTTCTTTGGATTACATGTTAATTGATTTAGATAATTCCACATTTCTTTGATATTTGGCTTTAAGTTTTCCCAAACTTAATGAAAGTATCAAAGTTTTCACTTTATAAATAAACATATTCAAGAAAATGATCAAAAATCATAGGTTTCCCTGTTATCAATAAAGTGTCAACGTTTCTTGCTGTAATTTTTTTTTATTTTAAATTTTACATTTGATTTAATATTACGTTTTATATTTCGGATAAAAAGAATGTAGAGTTGCAATAAAACTGTATTTTGTAGCGGGCCTGTACTAATATCTCTTACTTCAGATATTCAAATTAAATTATACAAATATAACATTTACAGTGTGATATACGTCAGGAAACTGCTAACAACTAACAATACAGATGAAATTTTGTTTATTTATTCTGAATTTTATTGCAATCAGACATATGGTGTGAATCAGTTTATTATTAAAGATGATAGGAAGAAACAACTCGGAAATTATTGAACCGCTTTGGGGTTTTCATGAGGATAGATTTATTAAATAGACAAAAATTCATAAGAATTAAACTTATTTCATTTCAAAAGAAATAATTTGGAGACATCGTGCCTTTCCAAATTATCCTCCATAACCTTGAACATAGACACATTTAGAATATGGATCCCCTGCATATCCTCTGATACACACGCATGCGCCCTTCTTGCATTCTGCATGTCTTCCGCATCGTCCTTCACATGGCACTAGGAAAAAACAATTGGTAAGTTCATAAAATACATTAAATACATGACACAATAAAATGATCTCACAGTCCTGAAATAACTTCTGTACATCTATATCCTTTATATTTGCTGTTAGTAAACATCCGTTTTCCCATTGATTCAGCTTTCTTAAGAAAAATATTTTACATAAAATAGGGTCATTTTTATTTATTTTTCTCATTTTTTACAACCCTCCATCTTTATCTACGAAGATAAGGTCCTTAAAAATTTCGCATCAGTAAATCACCATTTTAAAACCTTGAAAGTTCATTAACTAACATAAAATACACTTTATTAAGAAAATTCAATTCATATTTTATCAAAAATCTGAATGACTCACAAGCTGCGCATGACTTGTAGGGGTTTCCGGTAAATCCGTGATGACACTGACATCTTAGGAAATTCTCATTACAGTAAGCATTTGGTCCGCAGTGTCTTTTGCATCCGTTTCCTTTTTAAGATTGTAAAACAAATTAAAACGTTTTAAACCTTTTTTTTGCTAAATAGAAGTCTAGAACTCACAATTTTATGAATAAAGGTTTTTGCAGGGAATTTGAAACATAAATCATACGCATGGTGGCAAGAAGTTAAAAATGAAAACATAAGCAAAAAATTATTATTATCAATTGATTTTATATAGATAAAACTTCGTTTTATTTTTGTTGCTTTATTTAGCGTTTGTATTATCTCAAAAGACAATATTTTTGCAGAACTTTAAAATGGCATAACTACAACGCACATGTGAAACATTTTTATAACACTCTAACACGCGTTACAATATTTATTTGCACACACCGTTGCAGTTATAAGACTAAATCTTTCAAAAATACTGATCTATTGCTTAAATGTAGGCCTATACATAAACATACTTGGTTTGCATCCTGTTACAGGATTGGGTCCCGTCCCTTTGACGCACACGCATGCGTGGCGACCTCGATCACAGTATGCATTAGCTCCACATCCGCCTCGACATCCAACGACTGGAACCATACAAAATTAATTTTTTTGTGATTTAAGAAAAAAGGAATTTGTTTTCGAGAATCAAGTTTTGTTGATGGTACACAAAAATGGAATTTATTTTGAACATACATTAATCTATGAGATTCTGGGCTTTCTAACTACGAAAAAAGATTTGATCAATAGTTAGAGTGATTTTAATGACAGATGATAGGGGTCAATCCGCATTTCTAGAACTCTAAAATATCAATGTATATAATGTAGATAATTTTAAAGCGTCGAAAATTGCTCCTTTATCAAATAAGAAGTTAATATAAAAGTGTAGATATTAAAGTAAAACAATGCTACATACGTGATACACATTGATAGTGTGGGTTCCCTATGTATCCTTGTTTACATTTACAGATTCCTCGACGCCCATCACAAATGGCGTTAGCTCCGCAACCTCGCCGGCATCTGTAACCTTCATAAGTATGACAAGGCATTAGTCATAAAACTGCTTTTTGTAAATCAATAAAATGCAATGGTCGAAAATAAAATTTCAAAACAAATAAGGTGAACACGTGTTAAAGTTTACAATTGCTTGTAATACTCAAACATTATCAATTATGAAGAATACCGGTAGTGTACATGTACATATACCTGGGAAGCAAGCCACCAGTGGGTTTCCGTAATACCCTGGGTTACAGACACATTTTCCGGTATTCGTTAGACAACGGGCGCGGATCCCACATCTATTTCCACAAGGACCGCCGCCTGAAAAATCAATTTGCTAAAAGCCACAATGATTCACTCTTGAGTGAATTGTGCCGTTAAAAGGTCAGGGAGGACACATGATCACGTGACACAATTTGACTTTGGCATTGTTTCTCCTGCACAAATTAAAACGCATTAAAGATTTTTACCAAAAAAGTTTAAACATGTGATTCTACATACCCGGATGACAGACAGTGAGGGGATTTCCTTTATATGTGGGTCGACAGACACATGTGTGTCCCCCTAAGCAGACTGCGTTCCTCCCACAAGTTCCCCCACAGCCGGTGGGGAGAATAGGCGGGAGGTAGATAGGGGGCAGCATATTCCGGAAGTTGACTCTTCTATTACTTGTCTTACTTCCGGGGAAAGGACGGACCGCCCGATTGTAGTAAACTCTGTGTAAGAAAAATTAGGACATTTATCTCTACAAGTGAGGTAACGGATTACAAATACCATATATGGTTTTTTTTTTCATTGATTAACAAATTCTGTGACATATATGGAGAAGAAATTAAAAAAAACATGCTGTGAGCTAAATACAAATGTACTAGGGATTTGTCGAGTAAATTTTTTGTAAATATCACAGTCCATGCATTCACCAATACAAATTTTTGTGCAGAGCAAACACGGACCTCTTAAACATCAAAGGTGGGACCGGATATGGAATGGATAGTGAAGTGTTCCCATATGCATTTAGTCCCCTTTCAGTGAAAATTGAGTAACCTTTCAGAGGACACTGAGAGCAGACATAATGTAGGTAAAGAATATCTGGGTTTTTAAAACTTCAAACTTGTTAACAAATATCAAATTCAAACAATTAAAATAATGCACGATCATTTCAAAATTATTTGAAAAGTTGTACAAATCTGATATTTTGAATTGTCTTTTTTTGTCTTATGCTTTGTAAATCGTCCATTTAATATTACAATACACAGAATGAAATAATGTTGACGTTCCTACCTATGTCCATATCGTCTTGAGTACACAACCTTACTGGTGGAGGACGTCCGTTGTTGCTTGTAGGCCGCCCGATGTTGACCATAGGACGTCGGTTGTTGCTTGTAGGACGTCACCCGATGTGGATTGTGGGACGATCGCTGTTGACCATAGGACGTCCGTTGTTGATTGTAGGACGTCCGATGTTGATTGTAGGATGTCGCCCGATGTGGATTGTGGGACGATCGCTGTTGACCGTAGGACGTCCGCTGTTGACCGTAGGATGTCGGATGTTTATTGTAGGATACACGCCGGGTATGAGGTACTCTGATTGGCCCAACAGTTATTCGCTTATAAACCTTCCTTCTTGTCCTATACTGTTAAATAGAAACTTTGACGATTTAGAAACGTTGACGAAACTGAAAAATTTCCATAAATCGTCAAAGTTCTCAGTCGTAGGTTCAACATACAACATTGTGAAAGTGCTTCATAAAACAGTAGATTGTAAAAGGCACTACTTGACATTTGTTTCCAAAACACCGCAATTGAAATAAGTAACATGCAGATGAGGCATATGATTCTTAAAAGTACATACATGCAGATATATCGCAAGAATCGTTCTTATTTTGGTCTCTGACATGACTTTTACTTTTATTATGTATTTTCAGTTTATGACACAAAATAATTGTTATTCATATTAAAATTATTTACTATCCACTACAAATATTGAAATAAGAAACGTAAAAATGTAAATGTACTCACGTATGAACCTGTAATAGATAAAAAAAAGTACTTAAAAGATTTTTATCAATAATTTGATAACACAATTAAAAAAAAAATTAATATCTCACAAAAGTTATTTCTAGACAAATGAATAAAAATACTTACCTTCTGCATTTTCAGCAAATAAAGAAATACAACAAAGAACCGCCAAAATATACAATGCGATAACTCTTAATCTTGTCGTTGAATGAATACACATCTTCAATATGGAAATATGTCCGCTATTTGTAAGGTCATGGAGATTTTCACATTCAGTATTATATTTCTATGAGCTATTTGGTGAGAATCATTTGCTGTGTATAATGCAAGTTCCACCTGTTACAATACAGGAATATTTCACAGGGTAGTAAGGTGATTTAAAACATGCATTGATACGCCTATACGCAATTGACTGTAAGAGTAACGGTCACTAACATTCCTACCTCGTATCAGAAGAATAAACACAATCTTAGAAACAGTTGCAAGAGCAAAAAATTCTGCATTTTGAATAAAATTATGATTTAAAGTTATCATAATTGTCCTTCAAAAATATATAGATCATTCAGAAAGAAAAATGCTGCCTTATTTTAGTTGTTAAATGAAAAATATTGACAAGTAGGCATGTTTCCATTGGAAACAGGAAAGTATTTTTAAATGAAATGTATATGTTTTTGTGTGGGTTACTAAGATTATTTAAGAGTATTCAACAAAATGTGTAATTTGTAAGAATCATTCCTCTCTAGCTATTTGTCGTTAAGGTTCTTTTTTGAAGAAAAAAATCTAGAATTTTTAAGTTTCTTTCTATAAATATGAATACATGTAGTAATGAAGTTCAAGCGTCCAATACACATCGAAAACAGATTGAGCATGAACCTCTAGAATCTTCAGATGTGAGTTCAGGTGCCATGGAGGAGTTACCTTCCACTGTCATTAGGTCACACCAGCAGCTTGTAATAAATGAGTAAACAAAAATATCTATGGACACTACTGAGTGAAAAGTGAGAATTTGGACTAGATGTAATTAAATTTATCCTATGTCGTAAAGAATCGCTTATTTCTATGAAAAAAATTCCACTAACCATTTTCCTTTTTGATAGATTGTACTTGCTGACAAGGTCAGTGTAGAGAATAAGGATTTTAAAATATAACCTCAGCAAAACAATTGATACCCTCGGCTTGTCTAATCAAATTATTTTACAATGTTTTGTCTCGTTTCAGAAATTATTCTTATATAGATCTGTACCCTTTTAATCAACTGAGAGGCATGAGTTCCACATCCAGGTTATAATTGTTTATCGCTCCATTATGGCATAACTTGTTTAAATAGATATGAGAAGTAGAAATATTATACAATCCAGTAGCAAAGTTGTCATTAACATATTTTTTTCCTTTTGCAAGATTAACATGTACGTATTTTTTTAAAATGGAATAAGGAATATAAAACAGATGAATCACACTATGTGGAATCTTTTATTATTTCAAGTTCAAAGGTATATTTGCTGTAATGAAAATGAATATTGTTAATACATTTAAACTACAAATTTTGCTTGTGGTTTACTTTTCGTTGTTTTCGAGGTATGAAGAGACCCGCAAATATATGACCACAAAATGTAAAATGCCATTAATTTACATAACTATTCCACAATTCTTCATCCATGAAATCAATCCCCACGGGTCCATAGATGTTCCGAAAACCACAAAAATGGACACCAAGAAAATATATGATTTTATGGTAGATAAAACGTTGTCGATATACATATTTCTAAATATTGATTTTAAGACCTCAGCAATTTTTCCCTCGAGGATTTGCTTGAATATTAAAAAATTGAAATTGTTTAGTTGAAATGAATGTAATACCTCAATATATACACTGCTAAGATATGTTTTATAAGAAACCTTTCTGAAAAGTCACAAAAGCAAGAGTCTTAACATAAATTATGAAATCTTGAAGTCAATATTTTGCAGAATTGTTTCGCCATCTTCAACTCGTGTCACAAATTGTCGCTGTGTTATCTATATTTGTTTGCAGCTACTGTAATAGCATTCTACCATTCTTCCTTTCATTTTAAATTATCATTATCTTTCATTATCATCTGTGTGATCTTTTGTCATTGCAATTTTTACTTAAAGATGTTGGTTGTCCCTTCACATAAGGGATAATCTACAGATTTGTATATAATCTCTGTTGACAATTTTCAATATGTTCATTGCTTATATGAATGATTTTATGATGTATTACTTTTTGTTCTATTTAAGGAATGAAGCTTATTTCAACTTATGTTATACGATATAACATAACTTGGGGCAGTTTACGCTTTATAAACCGCGAAGCGGTTTATAAAAAAGCGTAAACTGCCCCAAGCTATGTTATATCGTATAACATAAGATGAAATAAGCTTCATTCCTTATAATTTAATTTCAATGTAGACAATGAGACAATTTTTCCATTTTTTCATTCGGAAAAAGCCTTCAAACATCGCATATTTTAAAAGTTAACGTCAAGCGGAGTATATTATTTTTAAAAAAATATCACCTCAAACGATATAGATTATCTATTTATCGAACATGTGTATAACAATATTTGATAAAGATTCAAAATAGTATTCCTTTGTTCGTCTCAAAGCTGATCGACTTCTCATCCACTGAAAAAGGCAAAAGGATAAGATTAAATTTTGAATGTAATAATTATATATACAGTCATTCACGTCTATATCAATAGAAATTGAGTTCTAAATACACCGTATTTTCTTCATATTGATAATATACAAGCAGGAGTTCAAAGTTCTCGTTGTTCTTACTTTTTAGATGCACTCATTTTGTTTCTGATGAATGTATAGGAGAAGTTTATCAAGATTTGCACGTTCGAGTACGTGTAACAAACCTGTAATTAGGTGTCGATCCGTATCCGTTGTAATATGATTTTGTTGTGTAATATGAACCCGCTGATCTACGCTTCATTATTACAAATAAACCGCTACGTTTTGCACGATCAAGCTTTCTATCAACATCATCTTTCTAAAAAAAAAAGCGAAACAACTAAACTGAAAAATAAATAAATACAGCAAATCTTCTTTAGTACGAACATGGATATTGTGAATACACGGATATAGAAAATTATTTTGGATCCCCCAGCTATTTAAGGACGCGATTGCACGGCGTCACGTGATCACGTCATTTGGTGAATAAAAAGAGAATGTTGGCTGTAACTATTTCCGGAATAAGGAGCGTCATATGTTTGCGCTAATGACAAAAGGGGTTTGTTTTTCTAAAGTAGAGAAAGATTAAGATATTAAAGATTGTTACGATGCACTGAGCGTGTTGGTGAGAGTTGATCTTATTTTTTATCTACGTGCATGTTTTACGATTTGACGCGTCTATCTGTTGTATATCTCTGAACATTGAAACCTATTTCATTAAAAATAAATTTGATTTATATCTTGAGGTTTATATCTTCATTTCAAAATTAGAATTTTATTTAAGATTGTTGTTTATCATAGGATCTACATCTTTACATGTATAGATAATTTCCAATAAAAGATTCAGACGGCGTGATTTACTAGATACATGTATAAATATTGATGAACGAAGGCGATTTTGATAAACGTGTTACGGCGAAGACCACTTATGCCTAGAAGACATAGCTTTAAAAAAATATCGCAGGGGATTTTGTTTTCTACTATAAGGTCTTTAGCATTTTCAGCAGTGACATCGACCGCGTAAACATGCAATCATCGTAGCACATATATTGTAAACGATTGTTATTAAATGTTTTATGCGTCGTATTGAAACGCAACACACTTCTTCTGAAAGAATACCAGGGAGGATATGTACATAAATAAATAAAAGAAACGTGAACTCATCATGCTTATGTGAATACATTTGAAAAAATGTTTTTTTTTTTTAATCGCATGGATATGAACATAGATGTTTCACTCCAGCATATATCATAAAGCGACGGAAAGTTATTTCAATCAATAATTAGGCCTATTTTTTAATCAAAACAGTAGATCTATAGTTTTGACGTCAATTGTGTCATTATGACGTCACAATGGAGATAGCGCTCATCCATGTACAGGAGAAAATGAAGTGTACTTACTTGAAAAGAATCGGAAGGAAAACTATTTGTAAATTAATGTGAATATTTAGAATTACTGTAATTTGGCCAATAAGATTATTTATGGATGAATTCATTTATTTTAAAAAAATATATAAATTAATGCAGTTACAAGTTTTACAAAATAACCTGTTATCATTCACTGTGTTCAAATGCCAGCCCCCCCCCCCCCCCCGCCCGATTACAGGTCACTAAGAAGAATAAGGCCTTTGAGGACTGTGCACTGGTTTATAATATATTATTTATTTATACTGATATAGTAACAAAACGAATGTCTCGGAGATGAAAAACTGAGTTTGAAAAAAAAAGTTATTTTCGTGACCACTGTCGGTGATAAGTAAATTATTGTGCTTCACATATAAAATGGACATCAGCTGCCAGATTTTCAGAGAAGAAAATAATATTTATTTTTCTATACATATGACCTTTTTTGTCTTTAAACAGATTATGCATATTTAAGGTCCAACAACAAACCATCATATGAAAATCTGTGAAATCTTTTAATATTCTAAAAGGGGGGTACTAAATTGCGTGTAGCTTCGAAATTAATCTGATTACCTTACTTCATATTTTAACCATAAGTCACTTATGATGATTAGTACAGCATATATTAGTTTTGGGAAAATTCATTGGATAATTTTTTGTCTAGACGTTAAAAACTGCTATTGAGGTGAAAATATTACTGCAAATTTACAATGAATACTTCCCCAAAAAACAATGTCATTACTACATTTATCAATAGTTTCCAAAACAATTTTTATTTTCAATAAATATAAAGCATATTATTAAATATCTGCTGGAAAATATTTAATTTGCTTCAATTTTGTTGCGTGTATGGCATTATAAAACATTCACCTCATAAATATCAAAAGATTGAAAAATGGTGGTTACCATGGCAACCATAACTTCCTTATAAGCCTGATGACCATGCTTGATGCTTTGATATAATGGTATCATTAACATTAGGAACATTATATGTAAAAATGAGAAAAATTCATTGGGCATAATTTTTTCACGGACC